GCGATCCGCAAAATTGCCTGGTCTCAGCACTCAGCGATGCGTGGAGGATCACGGCTTGAGCCACATCCACCACTTTCATGGCCGATGTGCCGTGCGATTGTCCCGTGTGACCTGCCTGACCTGCGGTTGGTTTCATTATCTTCATCGTCGCTTTCCGTCCGGATGTCATGCGACCGGTTGGCTCCAGTCGCTGATGGAAAAATGGTTCCCCCAAATCAGAGACTAGTTTACACCCCCCCCTCATGGTATCGGAAGTCTTTCTCTCCAGCGAAACCGATAATCAGTCGACCTACTATGAACATGCCGCCCATTGCTGCGTTTCTTTCCTATTTCATACAGCTCCATGTCCCTTCGTTTCCCTTGGACTTCCCTTTATTTCTTTTCAAGTTCATCTCTGTAGCCTCGGCAAAACGTATATTTTGCTTTGCTAGGGTGTATACCTCTATTTTCCGCCAATGCGGAAGTGGAAACACGAGGATGAGCCCGTGACCCAACTTATGACACCACCTCATCCAAAACAAAACAGGTCAACATTTTTTCTATATTGAATTCCAGTTAACTTATCTTGAACGCCTCCCTGTGGAAGTGATATAAAAGTGAATTTGATTCCCTCTCATTCCGTTGGAGTCTGTTGAACAGGAGAAACCAACAAAGCACAAAAGAAACCAATACAAAGCTGTACACCAAACCAGGACAAACTCTTTCACTGAAGGGATGGATGTTGAGTCCAGTTTGTCATGTAAACCTTTCTTGACCAAAACAGCATGTCCCCGCTCGAGCTGCGGGTCCTGAATTGAAGAGTGGGACCTGTCAAGAGCTCTGCTTCAACACTTTGTCATCTCACAGATTTTCTGGAAAATCCCGCAAAACACTTTCCACCGGTTTGGACTGGGGCCCTTTCCCCAATCCCCCAAAGTTCGGTGGGGCAGGTCCAGTGACGGGTCCTTCCTGGATGGGTCCTTCCTCGTCCCACCCACAATGCAGCTTCCGTGGGCGCGCGCAGGGCTGTTGGAAGCTCCAGCAGGGCGAGCAAGCCAGTCGGGGGCCGAATCTACAAGGCGCACGAACAAAAAGGTGTGTCTGATGTCACCACACCAAAAGTATAACATATCACTAATATCACCGGATGAGTTTTCGTGCTGTTTTCGTGAAGCAAATGATTTGAGTGTCAAAAGGTTAAACAGACCTGTCACGACTCCGATGCAAGGACCTGTCACGACCTCTCACGACGTGGACCTTCTGAGTATGTTGGGACCTATTTCGACGTCGGGCCCACAGCCCTCTGGAGGTTTCCAGCTTGGACGCACATTGGCATAAGCAACGATGTTTCAGTAGCAAGCGTGGTGAGCCACCCAAACACCCCCAGCAATCTCAAAGATGGGATCGTATGGGAAATGAATCCCCTTACAACATACAACATGTGTTGTAGATTACATGTTGGTTTTATGTAATGTCATAATTACCCAAACGCTCAATGTATATGTAATGTCATAGATTACATAAGTCCTCCAGTCAGTCTTCCCTCATTCCTTACGAGTTGCAGTCGAACAACTGCTGGTCTGAGAATCTGCAGTAGTCCCAGCCTAGGGCCTAGTAGACCTGTAACTCGACAGGCTCCAATTGTCTGTCATGAAGAGGGACCCCCCCCAGCCAGAAACCCAATGGACAAAAACACAAACGAAAAACCCATGGCTGGAATGTCTTTCCAATTTTTTCACATGTCAAACATACATGTTGCACACCTCAAAACATATTTAACATTTTTGTTGAGTGTTATTCCTCCAGATAGCTCGCAAGTTTCAATCCACATGAACAAATCAATCTGATGGGGTTTCTCGGGGTGTAGGCGTGGCAAAGCCATAGCAGGAAAACCAGTTCTGGGTCTCCCGAAGAAGCATCTCCTGATGAAAAGGGGCTTGCTGGACCCTGCTGCTGACAACCAAACGAAAGCCCCTCGTGCAATCTATATGGCCCATAGCTGCCAAGGCGACAGTCGGTGCACCTTGGCCAATATTGTTGGCAGACTTGGGCCAATCTGCTCCACCATCTCCTCCGACCTCTTGTGTCACACACACTCGGGAAAATTTGTTCGGAACTGAATGCCATTTGCCACGCGCCCACCTAGGGATAAACGCCTAAGAAAGCCAGCAGTAAGGTATGTAAGGCGTTCTTACCATGGTACTTCCAGGAAGACCTCCATGATAGACTCCAAGAATCCACAAAGTGCCAAATCGAGAGTCGAGTGGTTGACAAGAACGGCGACAACGTGCAGTCTGCCGACCTACCTCCACCAGAAACAGCCTGAAAGCAAGGGAGGACCATTGGAGTCAATGTGTTCTTAAGCAGGTACAGGATCAAGCGTCCTTGATCTCTTCCCATCTGTGATCATAGCTTCGTTGCGTGCAATTGTTCACAGATGCTGCACGCCCCAGCAAATTGAACAAAAAAGCAGCAGGCTTTCTGTGACTCCAAGGGTTTCACACACTTAGATCACGGCTCGCAAGAGCGGTATCAGTTAGTGAAGTTCCACTGTGCTGCAGGTAGCAGGTAGACCTTTACACGCAATTAGACCTCGGCTGAGGGAACGGAAAGGTGAAGGAGTCCGAAAACTAGAATTGTTTACATCGCTCAGTAGCCCTTTATCAAAGAGTAGGGTGACAGCTTGATGACATCACAAAACTGGTGATGACATCACAAAACTGGGGAGGCCTAAAAACAAAAAAGTTGCAGGTACACACAGTTGATCAGACTGCACATCCACCGAACAAGCATAGCTTTGTTAGCCAGAGTTTGCTTGTCGGCCGCTGGCCCCCCGCTGTGGTGCAACACCTTAAAAAAGCCGGAATGGCGCACTCTCTTTTTATCTGCGGGGAGGGGAGGCGGGGGAGAGGGTGTGGGAGTGCATTGATTAAACGAGCCTGGATGCCCACCTAACAAGCCTGAAAGAAGAACAAGACAAGACATACGAAAAAGGCAAGGAAAGAAAAGAAAGGTGCAAGGGGTGCGGGGGTGTGGGCAGGGCGTGCATTGACTAAACTAAACGAACCTAAACGCCGACCTAACAAGCCTGAAAGAAAGCCCAAGCAAACGAAAAAAGGCAAGGAACGAAAGGTGCGAGGGGTGTAGGGTTGGGGGGGTGGGGGTCCAGGCCTGAAGGCGATGGATAAGAAGCCGTAACCGCCGCACACTTGACTAAAAGGATCTAAAAGGCAACAGTTACACTAAAAACATCTAGAAAACAAAAAAAGACCTAGAAAACGAAGAGCGACAGCAGGAAGAAAAGAAACCGAAAAAGTGATTACTTAGCAGTCCCGCCTGAGTCCTATGATTACTTAGCCGCATGAAAGTGCATGTCATTCTCTGCCGTTGATCTCAGAAGGCGGCGTGAAATCGGCATTCTCATGCAGGGCCGTTGATCGAGGGAGGATCAGGCGCAAGTGGAAAGATCGGGATGGGGTCACCCTTTACGGGCCTGTGCACATGCTGCGCCCCACGTTGGGGATCACGCCACAGCCCACGTGGGTGTGGCGAAACACACTTAGATCACGGCTCGCAAGAGCGGTATCAGTTGGTGAAGTTCCACTTTACTGCAGGTAGCCGGTAGACCTTTACACGCAATTAGACCTTGGCTGAGGGAACGGAAAGGTGAAGGAGTCCGAAAACCAGAATTGTTTAACATCGCTCAGCAGCCCTTTATCAAAGAGTAGGATGACAGCTTGAAAACACCACAAAACTGGCGAGGCTTAAACAGAGTTACAGGTACACACAGTTGATCAGACTGTGCATCCACCGAACAAGCATAGCTTTGTTAGCCAGCGTTTGCTTGTCGGCCGCTGGCCCCCTGCTGTGGTGCAACACATTCCTTTGGAACAGGTGTTGACACACACACACACAGGCACACACACACACACACTTGCGCGGATAAAGCCTGGCCTGGGTTCATTGGGGCTCAGGCTCAGATCTGACACCAAGCAACGACGAAGGGAACCAAGGATAGGATTCCAATGAAGAAAACTTTCCCGTGCACATCCCAAGTTCGTCCTCATCGTGAGGAGAGGGAGGGCGCAGGGGATAGGTATACAAATGCCCTTTTCTGAGGGAACCAACAAGGGTTACCCATATACACTTACACGGTTACACGATATCCCCTTTGGAATTAGCGGTGAATGTCGGGAATCGATTCTATAGTAGTGATAGAACGAAAAACCCACCTCAAAGGGCGGTTTGCCCCACTATAGAATCAAGTATCAACCTCCTGCAGTGCTGAGAGCCTGTTCTCTATGAAATGGTTCAACTCAACCTGACCCAAAAAATCGAGGAATCTTGATGGCAACATTTGGGAAAGTCACTGGTGCAAAGCCAAGCTCGTAATTGATTCTATAGAGAAGTGGGGGAGTATGAAGGTTGAAATTGATTTCAGAAAATGATTGGACAAAAGTGGCCCAGGAGGTTGGTTTGGATTTTATAGAGACATGATAGAGACATGTTTGGACACTGCAGTCTTGAAGTAGATTTTATAAGAAGGTTAAGCAGAAATACAAAACAAGTCCATGTTCTAAAAAATGTATTGTGTGGAGGGGTGATTGGACAATTGAAACCTAGAACCCAACACTCACCGGAAATCGCACAGAGGATGATTGAATGATTCGGAATACAAAGGCACTGTCCACTCTGAAAGCACTTCTCAGCCATCTACTACTCCAAATGCATTCTATAGAATCAAGAGTTAGAACCTCTATATAATATGGTGCATGTTCATGCCTTCTTTATAAAATGGACTATATAGCTCAACCTATTGGGCACCAGCCAAACTGGCCCAGTGGAGACCCATCTTTCAAGGCTAGTATTTTTCAGGTAGGTTGAGAGTTCATTCTATAGAAAAAGTGTCGGCAAAATCTAATTGGAGGTTTTTGAAACCGTGACTTTTGGGCTAGCATGCCGCCAACCTTGACGGTTGAAGCTTTGCGGCCCGAGCTTTTGCAAGGTGTTCGGCCGCGGCCATGGTGCGGTGGCGCTGGGCCCCGTTTCTGGTGGGCTGGATCGCGGGGCCCAGCCAAGGATGGTGGCAACCTGCCGAAGAGGAGGGAAGCCCGCCACCGAACAGCACCTGCTGGGAGGAGCCGTGGAGCTGCATCCAGCACAGGGTGAATGCCACGATGCTGGCTGCCCAGACCCAGTACAACTCCCTCACGACCTGGGACAGTATCCTGTGGACGGTTCTGGATACCCTGCTGAGTGGAGTTGGCTGGTTGATCTTTGGCCAAAACTGGCTTCAGGTGCGCACAGGATGCTCGATGATCCTTCGCATCGTGACCTTGATGGCAGTATGCCTGGTGCTCCACTACTTCCTCTCATTGGCATGGCCTTTGTGTTCCCTCCTCATCGGGACGATCCTCACCGTGGTTTGGTTCGTGCGAGCCTGTGTGCGGTGCTGCGGACGGGTGGCTTTCTACACCCAGAGGATGGCCGGCGGTGTTCCAGAGATCACAGGTGCCACTTTCTTCGGGCCCGATACGGGAGAGGTTCCCGAGACAGCCGACTTGAGGAAGTTGAAGAAGGGCACCAATGAGGATTGATGGGTACTCCTCCGACGGGACGGCCACGTCGTGATCATCAAGGTGACGGAGAATGCCGCCATCAAGTCCAGTGGCATGTACCTGAGCTTTGATCCAGAGGCGACCCGTGGTGACCCTCCCCTCCTTTTGGCTCTGAAAGGCTATGAGAGGGTGCACCTATGCCGGCACGACAGCTGTCCTGAAGATGGGCAACACTTCAAGAGCTATGCCCTGGCTCGGCAATTGAACCCGGAGAAGTTCCACCTCATGTCGACGGCTGAAGGAGCACATCGGTCAGGGTCTCGATTGATGGGATGGTTCTTCTCCAAGGCCAACCAGACGGCCAAGAAACTGAAGGACTACGCCTCCGAGTCAGAGCATGAGGAGACAGCTTGTTGCTGCGCCCACCTAGTTAGGTGGGAAAGCTCTGCCGGGAAGGAGGCCTTGGGAGACAGGCCGTGTGACAAGGCTGCAACTAACCAGGTGGACCTGCTGGAGGAGGACCTGAATGCTATGCCCCCCACACGGACGCCGAGTTTTTGTCCTGACCATGCGGTTCAATACTTGGTCAAGCGCGCCCCGGCTAAATGCTCCTTTGACGGATGTCGACGAGTGGGTACTTCGACCAGGCAAGGACTCAAGGTGCGCGCGGCCCATGAGGAGCTTCAGACCCCGACTCCAACGAGGAGGTCATCGCGGTAGATCCAGGGTGAGGGAACCACCTCCGGGAGAAGATGACGGTGACGAACCACCCGAAGGGGAAGGGGAAGGTCGCCTTCGTCGGAGAGGTCGAGGACGGGAGGTGGCCTATAACACTGACGAGGCGGAAGCCATCCTTCAGGAAGCTCGAGAGGAGGAGGTTGAGACGATGGCTATCCATCCTTCCAGGAGGAAGAGGGTTGCATCGCCAGGGCACACCCCGAAGTCCTCGGTCCAACACAGCCTGGCGAGGATGGGGCTCATCAACTCACCTGACCGACGGGGGGACATGACGTACCTGGAGGAGTTCATGGAGCAGCTCGCGGATGGCAAAGACCTGCAACTCAGTGAGGAGGACATCAGGAAGCAGATGGCCGCTCAGTCGGGACTCACTTTGGGAGACCTGACCAGGCAACTCTACGAGCAGGCAACGGAGGAGCAGAGGAAAGGCACCAAAGGCCTCACCAAGTTCTTGGCCAAGTGGCGCAAACAAGCAGCCGCTCAAGAAGGGTCTACACCTCCGTCAGAGTGGAGCCTCATCGAGAAGGACCGGGACAACGGCACACCTACTCCATCCAGTGCGACGTCAGGAGGCAAGACTCTCCAGAGTCCAGGACCTGGCTTCAGGCAACGGGTCACTTCAAGGCTCGCGATTGGCATCGCTGGCCCATACTGGGGGACACAGGAGAAGTATGCCCTCAGTGCCTCGGACTTCGTGCCCTGCACCGACGCGGAGTTGGACCAATTCGCCATCGAGAGCAGGACTGGAAAGCCCTCCAATGAGCAGCGGCCCGCAGCTCCGACCAGGTATGAAGACTGGCTCAACCGTGCAAAACGCCAGAATGACATCTGGGCATTAGTGTACGGGAGCGAATGGAAGGCAGTCCGAGAGCACGCCGTGAACCTGCTGAGCGAGCGGCACATCGGAGCTCCTCACAAGTGGCCCCTTCAGGTGTTGCTTGACGTATGGGAAGAACTCCACTGGCGGTTTCTGGAAGAGCTCAAGGAGGAGTTGAGGAAGATCAAACGGCTGGCTGGAAGAGAGTCCATGACCTTGAATGACCTCAAGTTCTATGCCCTTATGCCGGATGAAGAGGGCAGAGCGCCATTGGAGCTCCCACAGACCTTTGATCTTCGAAGACCAGACGGATGGTTCATGTCTGAGGTAATGCCCCGCATCGAACGAAGACAGGAGCGGATGCTATGGAAGATGACGTGGGAAGGGGCCGGAAAAAATCGGGCTCAAGGGCAAACCGCTGGAGGAGATGGAGGATCCAAGGAGGAGAAGCTGACCCTGAAGACCCTGTATGGTCCCAAGCTCACGGCAGAAGAAACGGCACGAGCGAAGGACCGGGCACCCACGAACAAGGAGGGCAAGCTCCTGTGTTGGGGCTATTTGTCCCATCTAGGTTGCTCCCAGCAAGGCTGTCAACGAGCTCATGAACCTCTGAAGGGCCCCTTCGAGTCGCTCGACCCGGCAGTTCAACTCCAGCTGTTGAGGCGAGGGGGCTTGAAGCGGATGAAAGCCGAGACCAAGGACACGGCCACCGAGAAGATCAAGGAGATCAGAGCCGGTGTTGCGAAGGACAAAGCTTCGAAGGTCCAGGATGGGAAGGATCGTCGACGTGCTGGGCAAGGAGATCAACCTCAAGGAGAAGGTGAAGGTCATGAGAAGGCCGGAGGACACCAAGGTGTGAGCTGGGAAGCCCCCGAGGAGATGGTGCAGGTTGATTACACGCACCAGGAGAAGGAGTTTGCTGAGCTTGTCGCAGGCCCTGATGCAACCATCTACGAGAATGTTCATCGGGAGTCGCAACCCCATCCAGGGCGAGAAGGTCAAACGGCACCGCAGGAAGCTCAAGACCTCGTCAGGAAGGCCCAGGAGCTGGCAGACGGGCCTGTGTTGAGCAAGTTGCAGGAGGCATCGGATGACCTCTACGCCTGGGCATCTACCAGGGTGGCCAACGACCCGGAGACCCCCTTCGAGACGCTGATGGAGGAGATGGTGCAGTTTGGGTTGGGTGAGTTGGCAGCCGAAGCCGCGTACCTCCTCGAAGCTCATGGGAGGGGCCCCAAGGCCGGAAACAAGGCCAGATGCCGTGTCGAGGAAACCCGGTGGGAGGCGGACGGACCAGGAAAAGCCGTGGTGCAAATTGATGAGGACTTGTGGGCAATGTGGGACTACGGAGAGATAATCCACATGACGGAAGAACTTGCTGGCCTGCTGGGAATGATTGAGCCAGAGAAGGAGAAGCGCCAGTGCGTCACCAAAGTTTTCGCAGCTGGCCTCCTGCTGTCCCAGACAGGAAGGACACCAAGCATGGACGACGTGGAGAAGCTGACCCAGGATTTTCGGCTGGAGCAGGCACGGCTTGCGGTTGAGGCCGAAGGGGTCATGAGCCACCCAGAGGCGAAGGTCGCCCTAGTGGAACATGAACTTCGGATGTACGCCCACGATATCCTCAAGCCTCATCATGACAAGGACTACCGGGCCCTGGCCGTGTTCCCGTTAGCTGCCCTCGAAGAGATCAGGGTCATTGTGGTCAGGGTGGACTATAAAGGGGACATCCTGCTGGAGACGGTGGTAGGCAGCCAGTGGACACAGCAAGACGTGTGGGTGATGATTTCCAAGGGGCACATGACTCTGTTGCAGCCTCCCTCAAAGTCTGCCGGAGACGCCCTGCTGAACAAGGAGGAGGTCTACCATACCCCATGTTTGGGATTCCGGTACTTCTGGCATCAGCGCCACGATCAAGCAAAGACTGCCCCGGGCATCATTGCGTGTCGACACTGCAAGACCAGGAAAGGAGGTGGCAAAGAAGGCCCAGACACCTATGGATGCTTGCGGAAGACAACTTGCTTGCCGGCGTTGTCTCAATGCGTGGCCGGAGGAGTTCAGACGGCCAAGGCAGTCCATGGCGCCAAAGCTCATGATGGGTTGGTGCTACGAGAGTACTTCGCCGGGCACGGAGTCATCACTCAAGGTTGGCGGGAGGCGGGCATGGTTGCCCTCGAGCCTATCGAGTTGTATGACCAGCCCCACCAGCAGCTTGGTCCCCGGCCGGACCACGATCTTGCCAATCCGGCACGGCAGAAACACTATCTGGACCAGCTCGGGCAGCACGAGTCCAATGTGCAATGGATCGCTAGCCCATGCACTACATTTTGTGACTGGTGTCTCCAGAATGGGGGAACGAGGACCTTCCAAAACCCAGCTGGCTTGCCAACCGAGAAGGAGCGTGTCGGGAATGTCCTGTCGGAGTATGGCGCGGCAATCTTCGAGAAGTCCATGCAGCAAGGAGGCTTCCCCATTGCTGAGAGTTCCGGGACCTCAGGCAGGTACCCCAAACAATGGCATTTACCCCAATGGCGAAGGTTGCTCCAGCGGCCAGATGTGGACTTCATCGAGATTGACATGTGTGCCTTCGGGCTTGGGCCGCCAGGGACGCAAGGGCAGTTCTATCGTCATCGGACGGGCCTGGCCTTCCCTCATCACCCTCCCCTTCGGCAAGCTCTCCTACGGCTATGTCCCGGCATCAGCCAGACCCACCAGCACGTGGCACTCAAAGGTAGCCGGCCAGGGGTCATGGTATCCCGATGTACCGAAGCAGGTGTTTACGCCCCCAACTTTGTCCGTGCTGTGGTCGAAACCCTCATCCATACTTTGGTGGGGGGGGGGCAAACCACAACCCCTCCTCTCCAAAACTGGTGGCCGACCTTACGGATGGAATGTGTATGAGGAGGATCCACCAGCTGAAGAGGAAGAGGAGGAGGCAGAGTTCCACCAAGGGCTTCAACACCTCAACCAAGAGGAGCTCCAGCAGGTCGCGGGCATGGCGGTCGAGGCAGCTCTGGGGGTGTGGAACGGCAGGACCATCCATGAGCCCGAGGAGACGGTCGAGGAGTCGGTGGGAACCATGATGGAGGAGCCTGACGAAACGCTGGAGGAACCGGATGAGGTCGTCGAACCGCCTGATGAGGGCGAAGCAGGGCCGGGACAAGGGGGAGAAGCAGCAGGATCTGGGGAGTCGGTGGCAGAACCTGCAGCGGCCTATCGCATTGTGTGGGCAGACCTGGGTCAGAGGAACCGCATGGAGGTGGACGCTCAGCGGGGCTACGTCTGGCTGTATACCAACGAGCCCAGAGACGACTTGGCGGTCCCGGATGAGCTGCCTTATCCTTATTGGCCCCATCGATTCCACAGCGAGAGGTACACGAGATGTGAGACTCGGAACACGCTGGGCCGTCTACAGGTGGCAGAGGTCTATGATGACTGGAGGGTACAGGGTCGGGGACGACCACCCTTTGCGCCATGGACGGGTGTCACCTTGTTCGTCTTCCGGGACGGTCAACTGCCTTGGTCGCACGTCTTGGTTGAGGACGAGCAGAACCGGAGGGAAGGGCCGGATGAACCCGACCGGTCGGGAGGGGGCCCAGGAGATGACCGGCAAGGATGGACCTCGAGCCACCACACAGGTTGGCAAGGGTTAAACCAAGCCGGAGTTTGGCAGGACTGGTCCTCAGGCACGTGGCAGGACTCCCGAGCAGGAGGCAGCCGGTGGGTTGACTTCGAGGAGGAGGGCATCTCAGGAGCAGCGGCTACGGCAGCTATGGCCTACATCCAGGAGATTGACGGCATGCAGGGTTCCGGTCCGGCGACCTGGCAGGCGGTTCGGGAGAGAGGAGACATGCTGCTTGGACGGGCCGGATCGGTCGAGAAGGCAGCCATCGCCCTATGGATAGCAAGAGAGCATCTGGGGCGAAACAACCTGCAGGGCGTCGACAGTGAGGAGCTAGACCCTTTGGTGCACCCGGATCACCTGGACTACCTGAGGGAGGTGAGAGCGCAGGGGATGCCCGCACGCTACCAGGGTCAGAGGGAGAGAGTGGCAACTAGACCGCACCCGAGAGCCAGAGCCGACTTGGGCCAGGTCTATGTCCAGTTGATGAAAGACATCATGAAGCACAGGGTGCTGGTGGTCTCGGCAGATCATCAAGACCTGGGACATACGGTGTCGTCACCATTTGAGCTGGTCCCGAAGATGCTTCCCAATCGGACCCTGTCTACGGAGGCAAGGTTGGTTCACGACCAACGACAGGTCAATGAAGGCACGCACAAAGACCTTCATCCACCGGCGGCACAGCCTACCCACGAGCAGGTCGCCAGGAGGGTACTGTGGTTGAAAGCCCGATACCCGGGAGTGAAGGTGGTCATGGCCAAGAAGGATGTGGCCGGGGCATTCCGTCTCCTCTGGGTTGACCCGCGAGATGTCGAGCTTTTTGCAGGAGATGTCCCTTGGAGACCGGAGTGCATGGAGCAGAGTGGGGGCGGTGGAGAATGTGACGGTTCAGGCCTGACGCTTATCTACCTCGTCTCCAGCTTTGGCTTCTCGGGGTCCCCAGGGGAGTGGACGGTGTGGGGGCGAGCTACGGAGGAAGTTCACCGTAACCTGCGACCGCTCCACAGCCGAAGGGACGGGGAGGTGCATTTCTGTGGAAAGATCTTGGTCGACGACATGGTGCTGGTCGAGCCGGTGATCGGTTTGCGGCCTTGGGTGTCCAGTGAGGTCTATGAATGGGCTGTGGTGAAGTTACTGGGCGAGAAGGCCATCAACAAGTTGAAGGACGCAGAAGAGGGACGGTTCAGCAACCAGCAGACAGTTTGGGGCCTCACTATCGACACCGACCTCGAGAAGATGTCGCTTCCGGAGGCACGGATCCTCAAGGGGGCCTACTTGCTGGCACAGCCTCATTTCAACTATGGCAACAAGGCCCTGCCGTTGAAGGAACTACAACGGTTCCGGGGCATCGCCAACGGCTGGAGTGCAGTGATTGCGGGTCTACGAAATGAGTTGAAGGCGGCAGACCTCTTCCTTGGTGGAGTTGATGGTGGGGCAGCAGTACACCCGCGGCTTCATCAACCGGAGGGCTCAGAGGCAAGGCAGATCGAGGAGACCAGTGCTTGGGAGTCGCTGTGGGAGCTCTTCGAAGACTGCAGGTGGCTGTGTTCGAGGTCCGAGACGTGGGCGGCCAAGTTCGGGGGAGACATCAGGGAGTTGCTGCCCCCACTCGAGAGGCTCGCGCTCCCAGGGCAGCGAGGGGCGGGTCCTGTCTTCGTTTCATCGGATGCAACCCCCGACGTCGTGGCAGCAATCGACTGGACGAACCACCTGGCCTGCCGCGAACCCATTGAGGTTCTGAAGCCGTGGATACGACAGGTGCTCGAGGCTGAGGGGCAGGAAGATGGGAAACTCGCCATTCATCTGGGAGAAATGTTAAGCTTCGTCGCCTTTGCCTGTCGGGTGGGCCACATGTGGGAAGGACGAGTGGTCATCTATGCCGGGGACAACAAGGTCGTCTACTTCTGGATTACCGGACGCAAGAGCGGAGTGCGGGCAGGGAGGCTTCTGATCCGGGTCCTCAACCTCGTCGAGAAGAGGCACAGGTGCAGGATCCTTGGAGGATGGTGGAGGACCTTCCACAATGAGGATGCAAACGCACTGACCCGTCTGGACGAGCCGCAAGCACTGCAGCTTATGAAGGATAAAGGTTGGAGCCGGCAAGACATCAAGCCCAGCATCCATCAGGCCCTGGAAGACACGGAGCGTTTCGGGCTTTGCTTTCTGTCCTGGGCCGACCAAGAGGACCACCATGAGCTGATGCGCCTTCGAGAGCTGCGGGTCTTTCGGGCCATCTTTCGACAGCCAGCGGATTTACTGGATGTCGAGGTCGTTGAGTGGACACCCGGACAACGTTACGTGAAGGACCTGGAGTACTTCTCGGGCAACGGCAATGGAATGTACAAGATTGTCGCGGGCACCATCGGCCCTGATCCGAAGGGCAGGAAGGTGACAGAGTTCACAAGGTATCTGGACCAGGAGATCTTCGATGTGGCGGTTCTTGAAGGGCCCACCGAGGTGATGTGGAGGCGGCTAGAGCAGTGGGCCATCTCAGTTGGCTGGGGCTGCAGCTTTCAGGAGTTTTTGACCTCCGAGCTTGGCGAGGCGTTGGTGCGCAGGAGGATTGCGGGGTTCCTGTTCCCGGGTGACAAGACCGAGGAGGAGGTTGAGCACCTGATGGTCAAGACGGTCACTCCGCCCTCTATGGGCTCCTACCTGAGAAAGATCACCGAGGAGAACTGCTTGCCGGCCTACAAGATGGAAACAGCAATCAACGTGGGCCAGCAGGTGACCGCTCATGTGTGGCTAGAACCCGAGGGACAGAGGCACAATGTCTACTCGATGGGGGGGCCCGGTAGGTGGCCGTTGTCCGAAGCAACCGAGAAGGGCATGCAGAAGATCTTCGTGCAGGACAAAGCGGCTCCAGTTGGTAAAGTGAGGGTGCTTTCCGGTGAGGAGGTGTGGATCCTGCAGGGCAGACGCCTGGATGAATGGCGCACCCTCGTATCCCAGATCGGCGAGGTCGAAGCTGAGAGAGAAGGGTGCAGGGCCACCGGACGCAGGACAGCCCTGAACCTGATTGGAGCGGCGGCAGAGCTGGCGAAGGAAGTGCGGGAGAATAAGGCCGGCATGTGCATCGACCAGGAGGACTACAAGACCCTCGGCTCTCTTCTACAATGGCTTCGCAAGTGGAGGAGGGGAGACTTCGGAAGGGCGCCTCCGAACCGAAAGGCCGGAGGTCTTGGCGAGGAGGTTGGGCAGGGCGCCCTGGAGTTTGAGTTCGGCAGCTTCGAGGGTATTGAGGAAAGACGGTGCGGAGGGCGCCGAAAGGGGCAAGTGAGGCCTGTGGTCGAGGACGGAGGGCGTTTCGTTGACTTGAACCCCGACTTCAACCAGGATATGGAGATCCAAGCGCAGATCGAGGAATGGCTGGAGGCGCACCTCACTGGCGACAAAGCGGAGAGCACCCAGAAGGCCTATACCTGTCGGCATGGAACAAATGGTGCGATTGGAGCAAGAGGCAAGGGTGGCTGTCCCCCTACCTTGACCATAGAGGTGACCCGATCCAGAATGAGAACAAGGTCCTCGGATACCTGGGCTACTTGGGATGGTTGGGCACCTCCGCGGCGACCATGAAGCAGGCTGTCTTCGCCATCAAGGACGCCCACAAGAGAGCGGGACATGGGGATACCACCACGAAGATGCACCGTCTGTGGATCGTCCTCAACTCGCTGGAGAAGCATTCGGTCAAGCGTCCGAGGCGATTGGGGGTCACCGTACAGATGCTCAAGTGGCTTGGCAAGCAGCTCGTGGCTGGGGCCGAGTCCTTTGGGGAGCTCAAAGTCGACTGCCGGATGATCCAGGCGGCGCTCCTGACGGCGTGGTTCTTCATGCTGAGGGCCCGGGAATTTGCGGACTCGAGTGGGGTCGACCAGGAGATGGTAGTCCGGGGACAGGATATCTCGTTGACCACCCGGGGACAGGCCGACGAGACGGATCCGGAGGAGGTCACCCTGCAGTTCCGGAAGACCAAGGCGGATCAGGAAGCCTTTGGGACCTGCAAGACTATGAAGAAGACGGAGATCGAGTATGTCTGCGTGGTCACCGCTCTCCATCGCCTTCGTGAAGTCGCACCAAGGAGATTCGGAAAAGGGCCTGAAAGTCACCTTCCGCTGTTCCGCTGGGCATCAGGTGCAGTGATCAAGCGGCTCGAAGTCCAGAACTTGCTCCAGAAGGCAGCCAAGGCCCTCGGTCTACCAGCGGAACGGTTCCAGTCGCATTCCCTCCGCATCGGCGGAGCTTCGGCCTTGTATCAGGCCACGGGCGAGATCGAGGTCGTCAAAAGGACCGGAAGATGGACGTCCTCGGCGGTGCAACGCTACCTCCATGACTCCGGAGACGTGCTGGCAGGTTTGGCGAAGAAGATGGCCACGGTTGACCAGCACGTGCACTACACGTAGTGGCGAGCTTGCCCAGAGCGAAGTTAGTGAAGAGGGGTGGTGGCAAGGCCATAGATGACTGACAAGTCACTGGCCGGAGCACCAACTTCAGTGCTTCGCAGCGAGAAAGGGTGAGCGCTATGCACTTAAGGGATCATTTTGGGCGTCCTCGCTCCCCGGTTCTATAGGGTTTGATTCGGCAGGGGATTACACAATGATGTATGCAAGCTTTGGATATGTCCGGTCCAAGTGAGGGGCGCAGGCTTCAGGCTTCATCCATGAATGGCCCATTGAAGTATCACAAGTTCCAACAAACGAACCCACTGGACATCGACCAATTTCCTACCCTTTGCTGTCCATAGGTCCTTTGCTAGGGACTGCTAAAGGGTTTTAGTTCTAGTGGCGTAGTAAGAAATCCCATCTAAACAGAAAGGACAAGTGGTCTAAGAGTACACCTGAGGACAGTATGGTTTGTCATGAGATTGCAATTGATCAACTTAAGAACATGCCACTGATCACACTGAAGAGCACGGCCAACATGGTCCAACAGTTGGCTGCACATGGTCATCTTGTGAGTTGGTCCCAATCATGTGCTGTCGAAAACATCTTGGAATATCCTCACACCGTGTCCAGTGTCCTTCTTCTATGCACCCCAAAATGCGGTATGGAGTGTCCAGTCGATGCACATGTTGCGATATCTGACAAGAAGCCTTGCAGACACGCGCACAAAGGGCAGGCCTAAAAATAGTCCAAAAAGACATGTGTCTATCCGTAAGGCCGGTTCCAACTACCAGGCCAGTTCCCTATCCCCAAGGTATGCTTGTGGCCACGACAAGTAGCTTCACAGTAAAAAAGAAAAAAACTTCCCGAGCGTGGGGATGGTTGTCCAACAATCTGCCAAACGCGAACCGCAACCGTTGGGTATGGCAAAGGGCCGCAGCAGCTCTTAAATCATGTCCAGCCCAAAGTGCGGGCCTTGAACGACTCTGTGAAAGCATCATGAACATGGAAAACACCGAGTTTGGACGGACAAAAGGCCTTCCACGGCCTCAAAATCACCAATGACTTGATGTTCCTGACCAGTTCATATCAAAGTGTGTCATGAATTTGATCGATGAATCCCCCCAGAGATCGATCTACGCGAGGCCTTCAGATCGATCAGAACATCCATAAAACGATGACCATAGCAACCATGCAACCTTACTTTATGTAGTACAATAGTATGTGGTCTGTATAGCCGGGGTCTATATATTAATTTGTGAGATACACATGTTATTATGATTACTATTATATATAAAAATATACCTTGTGCGTGTGTTTTGATTGGGCATTTGTTGGTCACGTGGAGTGGAACGTGTGACAGATGCATGGATAGCCGGTGTTTGGCAATACAATTGGGACCAAATATATAGGCGGATGTGGACATGCAATGCAAATCAAATACGGAGGCCCTTGAAAATTAAGGAGGATTCAAAAACATGTCATTATCGTCATAATACACAACCATGTCGATTCACATGTCTGAGCTTGCCCATTGGTAGGTGAAGGAGGCCCATTTAACCACGCCCACAAAAAGGGGACCCACCAACATCCACCACCATCTGCATGTTGGGACAATGGTTTGGTTGTGTCTGTTTGGGGGGCTTCATACTGAATGATTGAGACCCGCGGCACAAAATCCAATGAACAAGTAGCCCACGTCGCGACGTTTGGTTACATAAGTAAACACAATCCCAATGAACGCGATTCAGTGCAGGGGATCTGTGCACATACTGAATATGTTTAATTTCTGAGCTGCAATGAGTGGGGCATCTGTAGAAACAGGACAGTAGCAACCTGACCTTGATGCCTCTGATTTGGGCGGTTGGATTTGGATTGGAATGTCTTTACGGGGGTGCACTCTGACTCCCCCACATGGGCGTGGAAAAGGTCCCGTGGATAAAAACCTTTTGCCGTCATAGAAACATTTCTCTACTTTCACGTTAGTGTGTGGGACGGAACATTGAATGTTTGTAGATTTTAACGACTCACTGAGATGAAATAACCAAAAAAAGTTCATTGGCCCTTCGCCACTTCTGGCGCGAATGGAGGAGCTCTTCGCTTGCCATCAGCTGCCCACTACCCGATCGCATCCGCTGCCTTGTCCCATTTGTTTACATGAAGTCGACAGTTTGGTTTTTGGGTTGGCTTGAAGCAAAGGAAAACCATGCTGACTGGACTGCTTAATGGTCTTCTGTGGCCTCCCGCCCACCACTTTCCTGTGAGTGAGTCAACTGTCTAGCTCAAGCTTTTCAAAATTTCACCTGAAGTGGAATACGCTGTCTAGCTCAGATCAGCATCGCACGGCTGCTGGGAGAGGAGAGGAGAGGAGAGGAGAGGAGAGGAGAGGAGAGGAGAGG